ATCAAATAAGCTGTTGTTAGTGATGCATCTGTAACAACAAAGAGTGAGTAAGTTGGGTAAAGAAAAGCCTCATTGAGAAGAAAACTGTTTACAACTTAAAGTTATGTTGAGAGTCTCAGAATGTCTCAGCTGTGAGGGGCAGATGTATACATGTGCGGCTGCAACTCATGTACATGCATGAGCCTCAAATGTCTCAAGTCCTTTTAAATTTCAGTTTTACACATATTTTCAGTTACTTCTCAAGTATATACTGATATATTCTACATGAAAAATGGAAACAGTTATCAAGAACTTCACATATACTGTTTCTTTAAAATCCTCATTTGAAGGCTGGCCAGTTAGCTCAGTTGGTTAGAGCTCTGTGCTCTAACACTGAGGTCAAAGGTTATAATCCTGGTACCGGCCAGCTGCCAAGAAAAAAACAGACAAAAATAATAAAGTCATCATGGGCCGGCCCGTGGCTCACTCGGGAGAGTGCGGTGCTGATAACACCAAGGCCCCGGGTTCGGATCCCATATAGGGATGGCTGGTTGGCTCACTGGGTGAGCGTGGTGCTGACAACACCAAGTCAGGGGTTAAGATCCCCTTACCGGTCATCTTTTAAAAAAAAAAAAAAAAATAATAATAATAAAGTCATCATGTGACAAATATACCGCATACTTTATACATATTACTATGTTTCTTAATATTATACATAAGGAGAATTTATTCAAATTGTTTATTTTTAATGCTATGTATTTCCTATACTATGACTAGGGAGATTTCATGAAAGTACAATAAATGCTACCCTGGGAAATGCTTTAAATAAAATAAGTTATTTAAACTCCAACTGAGGTTCTAAGCATACTCATTGTAAAGCAGACTCACAATTCCAGATTTCTTGATTAAACTGGCAGAAATATATAGCAACAAGTGATGGACACTTGTGGTGACTTAAAGCATCAGGGCCATACCACCTTAGTACTTAGCTGTTGATCAAAAGATTTACTGCAGGCATTGAAGAGCAGATTACTTGGAGAATGTCTATACTAGAAAGAATCAACTTTACTAAGTGATCCCTTACTTGAATAAAAACTCTCTCTATACATGCTTCCCTACATGACTTATATCAGACCAACAATGTATACATGAAACAATTAGCATGTATTCACTTCTAGCTTTTACATATATAGGAAAAGAAGTCTGGTCACATGATCTAGAGACAGAAACAACCTTCTAACTAGAAGAAAATAAGTAAATAAAATAACCATTCAACTTTTAAAGATGTTTTCCTACTCAACTTATATCAGATCCACAATTATCTATTATCTCATTTCATCTTCACAGTTTCTTTCATGAACTACATAAGGTGATTAGTAATACAACCATTCTAGAGATGAAAAAAATTTGTGTGTATATACATATATATATACACACACACAAACACACACAAGTGACTTGCAGGTCACATAGCTAATTATCAGTAGAGCTTGGGAAATAATCCATATGTTCAAATTTCCAGCTTAGTGCTCTAACCATTGTGATGCATTACAAACTTAATTCTAGTAGTGGGGCTTCAAATTATGTATTATCTTGCGGGTAATGTTTATTAATATCTCAAAACTTTTAAAATAAAATAGCTACCTTTTACAGACACAGTGTTAGTAGGTATTTTATATATAGTATCTTGAATCCTCACAATAGTTCTGTGAAATATATATTATAATCCTCACTTACAGATTAAGAAAATAAGACTTAAAAAGATTAAGTGATTTACCCAATCACTTGCTCAGGAAGTGTTAAAACCAGCATTCAAATCTAAGTCTATCAAAGTCAGTGCTATGATTTACCAAAAGAAAAATTTTTCCTCACATATTTATTAGAAATCATATACTACATACAGTGGTATAAGACTTGTAGATTATCATTAGAACTTTATTATCTATATACAGCCCACATCTATAATTAAACGGCAACAAATACTACTTACTTTTTTCTATTTTCATTTCCTTCTTCCTTCCTTTCCTTCCTTTCCTCACAGCCTAGGGGATGTGAGTTTGGGGCTGAATTCAAGAAAAACAGGTTTCTTGGAAGAATAATAGTGGAAGATGATTTGAATTCCTACTTTATCAGAGTAATTCAAAAGCTACTTTTAAAAAATTGTTTAGTATTTGTTGAAGTTTACTACATGCCAAAACTATGTCAGATGCTTTATATATATATATATATATATATATATCTCACGTAAAACTCGTTATCATGAAATGCTAAGGGACTTCCACTTAAAGGAATTCAAATTCCTTATTTTAATGATGACCCTTGGACATTGCTAATCTTCCTGTCCTTCCTTTTTTCAGCCCTTCACACTACTGAAAAACAAACAACAATAAAAGGAGTATTTACATGACTTCTAGAGGAAAGGTGATGATCTTGAATTCCATCTATCATTTTAATATTACCAATTTATATTATGTATTTAAAATCTTACAATAGCTCTTTCTGGTTTACAAAGCACTTTAGTATATATTAGCTAACTCAATTCTCAAAAAGGCTGTGATATAGGTTTTACTACCCCCAAGGAGCTAAAACTAAGAGGAACTTTCTCATTTTGTAAAGTGGCAGATCTGTGTCTAAATCCTACTTCTCATTCTGGATACAGAGCTTTCTTTATCTTTTTACTGTTATGGGTAGAATCAGCTAACCCAGGAATGTGCTAATATCAGTGTACTTGAAAAAGAGAAAGACCCAATGCCCAGATCTTAGTTTCAACACCATTCTCCATCATTCTCCATAACCAGGATTCCTTGGAAAAATCACTGATTCTAGGGTTGGAGCAGGGAAAATACAAGATTAGCCTGGAGTATCTTATAGTACCACACAGTATGGGATTACTCAAAAAACCAAAAAGACAGGGGTGTGTCAAAGAGAGACAGGAACTAACCTGACAGGGTTCCCAATAGCCAAAGCTAGAACAAATTGAGCGTAAAATGAATAATGATATAAAATAAATATCCATGTATACATGCTATTATAAATAAAGGACTGAATAAATAAATAAACATATGAATAAATGCAGACAACACAAATTCTCAAATAATTGACATAGATATGTACCCCCTTCAGTAGATGGAACTTTATTCTGCCTCCCCTGTTGAGTGTGGACTAAACTTAGTGACTTGCTTCCAAAGAGGAGAGTATGGAAAACACAGTAGTCCCCCCTTATCTACCTATGGTTTTACTTTCTGCAGTTTAAGTTACCTGCAGTCAACCTTGGTCCAAAAATAGGGGAGTACAATACAATAAGATATTTTGAGAGAGACCACAGTCACATAACTTTTACTACAGTATATTGTTGTGATTGTTCTATTTTATTATTATTGTATTAATCTCTTACTGTGCCTCATTTATAAATTAAACTTTATCACAGGTACATATGTATAGTAAAAAACATAGTATGAGGCTATTATCTTTTAATTTTATTTTCCCACGAACATTATGAAGTGCCCTCATGCATATATGGTTCAGTACTATCCAAGTTCAGACATCCACTGAGGGCCTTGGAATGTATCCCATGCAGATAAGGAGGGTCTATACTGTAACTTTACAATAGAAAAACCAGGCAAACACTATCCTGGCCAGGTGACCAAGGTTAAAATGAACATTAATAAGTCATGTTGATAGCCTGTCCCCTTGATATGATGTGATGATAATGGCACTTTACCTCTGATCTTCCTATCAGAAACCAATTACCCCAGTAAAATATGAGAAAAGCTTCTGACAAATTCCAGTTGAGTGATATTCTACAAAATACTTGACCAGTACCCTTCAAAACTGTCAAGGTCATGAAAAACAATAAAAGTCTGACAAATTGTCACAGACAAGAGGAATCTAAGGAAACAGGACAACTAAATGTACTGTGGTATTTTGGATGGAATGCTAAAGCAGAAAAATGACAACAGCAGAAAAACTAGTAAAGTACAAATAAAGTGTGGAATTTCTTTTGAAATCACTTTTTTGAAGCATGATTGACATGTTAAAAGGTGTACAAATTTAACATATACAATTTGATGAGTTTGTAGGTTAAGTATATACTCATGAAACTATCACTACCATTAAGGTTGTAGACATATCCACCAACCCCAAAGTTTCCTCCCACCCCCTTCATTATAATTATTTGTGTGTTTGTGTGTATGTGTGTGATAAGAACACAACATAAAATCTACCCCTTAGAAAATTTTAAATATACACCATAGTATTGTTATCTGTAAGCACTATGCTGTACAGCAGATCTCCAGAACTAATTTATCTTGCATAACTGAACTCTGTACCATTTAACCATCACCTCTCTGTTTTCCCCTCTTCCCCCCAGCCCCTGGTAGTCACTGTTCTACTCTTTGTTTCTAAAAGTTTCATTATTTTAGATTCCACATATAAGTGAGAGCATACAGTGGAGTTTCATTAATAGTAAATTACCAGTGTTGGATCATTAGTTGTGACAAATCTGTGTACCATAGTAATACAAGGTGTTAACAACAGGGAAAACAGGATGTGGGATATATGGGAACACTCTGTATACATTTGCAACTTTTCTCTAAATCTAAGGTTATTCTAAATTTTTTTAAAAATTGTTTTTTAAAAAAGAATCAATAGACCTGGTAAAGAAAGAGACAAAGAAGGGGATGAGAGGAAGCAGCAGGGGCAGTACCGAGAGCAAGAGAGAGAGAGAGAATCACACCCTCTGAAAAAACTGAAACTGAGAGTCCTCCGCTAAACCACAGAGAATAATAATTTCAAAGTTTTTAACAAAGAGCACTTTGTAGATATCCTATTGGTAAAACCTTAAGAATTGTTTTCCCTACATCCTTCCGCCTATAATTCCCTCAAAACAAAGCAAAAAACCTTCTGACCCTTTGAAAGCTATTAAAGTCATCACAATAACCATATAAGTAAAATATAGACATCTCAGCCATAGATGTCTGATAAACATGTAGAATCTAATGCATAATCCTCACAACACTTACCTCTGGAGTTCCTAATGCTTTCACAGCATTCAGATCAGATCCTGAAGAGAAAGTATTTTTTGCTCCTCGGACAATGAGGCCTTTCCCCTCTGTCCAATTTTCTAATTCAATCACTTTTTCCAGAAGTTGTAGCATCATAACACCTGCCAGAGAGGGGAAGGGGCAATCAAAAGCACACGTAAGGGACTAGAAACATAGAAATCATTTAGAAATCATAAGGTGTCAAGCAGGATTCTTAGGTGATATATTTTTATAGATATTTACTGAATGTCTATCAAATGCCCATTGTGCTGGTATTATGGCATACACAAAAGAGGTATATATGACAGTCCCTGCTTTAAAAGTTTAAATTTGTCAACGTATCTATGTCTCTATCTAAAGAAATCACAAAAATCTATGAATAGGTAGAAAAATAAAAATATATCATATATATCCTAGGAATAAAAAAATTGGAACGTAGAATATGAGATATAATGACAAAAATATTATTTCTTAGGATAAAGATAAAATATAGATCTGACTTCACAGCAATACATGTTAAATGTCTCAGCAACAAGTTCAACAAGCTCGATGAGTGTTAACATATAACTGTGAGATTTATGATATACTGGACTACGGTATATAGAGATTCCTTATCCTACTAACATCAGAACTAGTGTAATACAATGTTGCTTCAGGAAAGGGGAAGTAAATATCATCTTGTCCCATGGTTGACAAATCATGCTCTGAGGAGCCTGAGGCATGCTATGGAAGTGCTTCACAGGCCTACCAACTACTGATTCTATAATTTATAGATTAGATTGTTATTTTGGTATCATGCTAAAATTCTACTGGAGCTCCTTTATTGTGAACGAATTTAACATAGAAACAGCAGAAACTTTTTAAAGATCTAATCAGTAATTTTTAGATATGCTTCTCTTTGGTGATCTTCCAAGTTCATAATGTTCTGAACATAATTTTATTTTTCTCTGCCTAGGAAATGCTTCAGAAGCCAATATAAAGATCATAATAGAGGATTAAAACTGGCAAATAATCTGTACCACAAGGTTCTAAAACTATATAAGCCACATTAAATTATGTATACTTCTTTAGAATATAAATCCCACAATGTCAAAAACCATTACTTCCTTTGCCATTTTCTGAAATAACTAGTAACAAGGTGTTTCCACAATAAATGTTAAATCAATGTTAGTAACTCACAAATAACTAATGCAGTTATTCTTTCCTTTTTAATTTGTTAATTATAACCTACTTAAAACTGTTACCCTTTCCAAGATGTCTTAGATGCTTTATAAACATTGTTCTTGCTCTCAAATGATTTACAGTCTAGTAAGGAAAACAACAAAAAAGAATCCCACATATTTAGGGTAAGAATAAATCTGTATAGATAAATAAGGACTTTTAGTCATCCATAATATTTAAGCTTCTAAAAAAATAATGCTGGCCTTGAGTATTAAAAAAATCTATACCAGTAGTTAATCTTAAACTTAACTTTCTGACTTTGTAAAATAAACCTTAAGAGTTAGAAGAGACCTTAAAGAGCATCTAGTTGGATGATTTTTAAACCAGGGCTTTGGGGGCTCACTCATCTTCTCCCAACCCAACCTAAACAAACAGAATTACCCAAATCAAAGCAGCTCTGCTTTTATCAGTTTTATAGATTATGCATTATATTAATATTTGTTTCCCCTTGAATAAAAAGTTATTTGTAATTATTCAGTAGTAAATTAAAACTGTTTATCTAATGTAACCTTGTAGAGCAGTCTTACCTTTCTAATTCTATTTTTCTTGGGCTATTATTAAAATTGGATTTACTGGTGTGACCGAGCAGGTAGGCCTCACCGCCACCAAATCCCATCCACTGCACGGCTAAGTGCACACTGACCAGAGACATGCCCCGCTGGAGAGGCCCGAGTCCCACGGAGACCATGTGCTCTGCAGCACCAGCACACAACCGAGCAGGTAGGCCTCACCACTGCTGGTCCCCATCCTCAGCCTGGCCGAGTGAATGCCGACCAGAGAGGCGCCTCCCTGGAGAGGCCAGAAACCCACAGAGGCCACATGTTCGAGGTGCCAGCAAGTGACTGAGCAGACACTGAGGCAGCTGTGCGAAACTGGCAGCCCCAGAAGCATCCTTGCCAGACTAGAGTGTCAAACCAGTGGACCATGAAATCCCTTACCAGAATGACTAAACATCAAAGGAAAGACAACAGAAATATGAAAAATCAAGAAAGTACACCACCAAAGGGTAATAACTCTCAAGCTCTATATCCTATAGAATAAGAAGCCCTTGAAATGTCTGACAAGGAATTTTGAGTGAAAATTCTAAGGAAACTAAATGAGATACAAGAAAACTCAGCTAGACAACACGATGAAATGAGGAAAAGTATACAGGACCTGAAAGAAGAAACGTAAAAGGAAATCAATGCCCTGAAAAAGGATGTAGCAGACCTTGCCAAGCTGAAGAATTCATTCAATGAAATAAAAAACACAACAGAGAGTTTAACCAGCAGGCTTGTGGAAGCAGAAGAGAGAACTTCTGACCTTAAAGATGGGCTGTTTGAAATAACACAGGCAGACAAAAAAAGAAAAGAAAAGAGAATTAAAAACATTGAAGAAACTCTAAGAGAGATATCAGACAACCTTAAGTGCTCAAATATCTGAGTCATGGGTATTCCAGAAGGAGAGGAAAAAGGAGATTGCATTGAAAACATACTCAACAAAACAGTGGCAGAAAACTTCTCAGGTATAGGAAAAGACACAGATCTTCAGATTCAGGAAGCTCAAAGATCCCCAACTGTATTCAACCCAAAAAGGTCTTCTCCAAGACATGTTATAGTCAAATAGGCAAAACTCAAAGACAAAGAGAGAATCTTAAAAGCTGCAAGAGAGAAGCATCAAATCACCTATAAGGGAGCCCCAATCAGACTAACATCAGACTATTCATCACAAACCCTAAAAGCCAGAAAGGAATGGGATGATATATTCAAAATACTAAAAGACAGAGATTGCCAGCCAAGAATATTCTAACCCACAAGGCTATACTTCCGTAATGAAGGGCAAATAGTATACTTCTCAGACAAACAAAAACTGTGGGAGTTCAATACCACACAACCACTCTTACAAGAAATTCTCAAGGGAGTACTGGGTTTGTTACCTGAAAAATGACCAGCACTGCCATAAGAACTCGAGAAAAATCAAAATGCACTAGTAAAATAAAATGCCAACAATGAAGAGAAAAAAAAGTTTACCTACAACCCAAGAAACCAACAAATACAGAAGACAAACAGCAAATCAGAAAGAAAGGAATAAAAGTTAAGACATCCAAACAAAAGTCAATAAAATGCTAGGAGTAAATCAACACTTTTCAATAACAACTCAATGTAAAAGGATTAAATTCCCCAATCAAACAACACAGACTGGCTGACTGGATTAAAATGGAGGACCCAACTATATGCTGCCACCTCACCTATAAAGCCTCACATAGACTAAGAGTGAAAGGATGGAAAAAGATTTACCATGCAAACAGAAATGAAAAACGAGCTGGAGTAGCTATTCTTATACCTGATAAAATAGACTAAAACCATAAAAAGAGATAGTGAGGGCCACTACATAATGATGAAAGGATTGATCCATCAAGAAGACGTAACTATCATAAGTATATACACACCCAATGTTGGAGCAGCCAGATTTATAAAGCAAACTCTAATAGACCAAAAGAAGGAAATAGACACTAATACCATAATAGCAGGGGACCTGAACATCCCATTGTCAATATTGGACAGATCATCTAGGCAAAGAATCAGCAGAGAAACACACGATCTAAACAATACTCTAGACCAATTGGACTTGGCAGATATCTACAGAACATTCCATCCAACAACCTCAGAATATTCATTCTTCTCATCAGCACATGGATCATTCTCCAGGATAGATCACATGTTAGGTCACAAATCAAGTCTCAACAAATTCAAAAAAATTGGAATTATCCCATGTGTTTTTTCAGACCACAATGAATTAAAATTAGAAATCAATAACAAATTCAATTCTGGAAACTATACAAACACATAGAAATTAAACAGCATTCTACTTAATGACATACGGGTCCAAGAAGAAATCAAAGAGGAAATCAAAAAATTTATTGAAACTAATGAAAACAATGATACATCATACCAAAACCTGTGGGATACTGC